CTCTCTCTCTCTCTCTCTCTCTCTCTCTCTCTCTCTCTCTCTCTCTCTCTCTCTCTCTCTCTCTCTCTCTCTCTCTCTCTCTCTCTCTCTCTCTCTCTCTCTCTCTCTCTCTCTCTCTCTCTCTCTCTCTCTCTCTCTGGTGAAAACTGTAAAATAATAATAATAATAAATAAATAAAAAGTTAAAATAATGGGACCAGGATGGCATACTGGTTACATCCCTGGACTCCCACATAGTCGATTGTGGTTGAGTCCCAGACCCATGCTGGGTGCATGTGCATGCATGCCCAAAATCCTGAGAGGAAACTGGAGGAGAAGGGATTGTGGTGTGGCCATCTCCCCAGAGAGTGATTTCTCACTTTCTGTCTCTCCATCTGTCTCTGTTTCTCTGGTTGGCATACAAGCCCTACAGCAAAAATCTCTCAAAAAAAAAAAAAAAGTTAAAATTAACTCTTAAAAAAAAGTACTAAATTTGAAATCAGTCAATAAATATCAACTGACCACCTAATATATACCACATACTACTGCAGATGTACAAAAAGTTCTCTGCTCTCTTGTATCTAGCAGGGAGACGTGGATAACAACTAAGACAGTAAGTCACACAGCATGTTAGACAGGGATTCATGTCATGGGATCCAAGTTCCAAAACATGGCTTCCACCCTAGCTTATGACCTCCTTTCTAACAAGGGCTGTAACATTTGTCTCTACACCTCAGCACCTACTACGAGTTTGCCACATGGTTTAGTTTATTTTTCTGTTGTTGGTAACAATACCACAGGCTGGGTAATAATAGAAGTATATTTAGCTCACAGATTTAGAAGTGCAAAGTAAAGGGGCCATATCTGGTAAAGATCTTATTGATGGTGTGGACCATCTGCAGAATCCCAGGGCAGTGTAGGGCATCACACAGCAGTGAGAGGGCAAGAGCTTATGCATCTGTATCTCTGTGTCTCACTCACTTCTTATGAATTCACCAGGACTCAATCCTGGGGGCCCTACTCTGACAACCTATCAAATCCTCATGACCTCCCAAATACTCCACCTCTTAATTCCATAAGTAGATGAAGTTTCTACCCTCTTAATGCTATCACGACTAAATTTTACCTTATGAATCTGGGGAGGGTATGCTGAACCCAGAGCATAATACCATACCGATTTCAAGGAACTTGCAATTTTTTTTTCCTAGTTTTTCTTTTTTTTTTTTTTCTTTTTCTTTTTTTGGGAGAGGTTTTTGCTATAGGGCGCATGCACTCACCAGAAAGACAGAGAAAGAAAGCAAGAAATCACTCCCCGGGGGGATGGCCACGCCGCAATCCCTTCTTCTCCATTCTCCTCTCAGGATCTTGGGCATGCACACACACATGCCCGGTGTGAGTTTAAGCCACTGGGCCCAGGACTTGAACTGTGGTCAACTACATGGGAATCCAGTTACATACCCATTATGCCAACTGCTAGTCCCAGAACTTGCTATTTTAATTTTTAAAAATCCTTTTAATAAATAAGTGACTACATGTTCTGACAGTTTTCAAATTCCCCCATTTTAAAGGCAGATGTATAAGAAATTATTAGCAAAGTGCTGATCTATAGTTAACAGGAGCAGAAACAAAGTCTAAAAGTTCTTGATGGAATCAAATGTATTGTGACTAACTCAAGTATTCCCCTGACTACAGAGAAACAAGTAACAACTGGCCACTTCAAAGATTATTCATTTTCAGTGAGAGATTCTTAATGTAGAGATCACAGATTCAGAATTAGATTTCCCCTGAAACTGTAAGCAAAATTCTGGAGAGGGGAGAGTTATGTGCATCTATCTGGGGAAAGAGTAATAACTTCTGTCAGCCTTTCAAATGTCTGTGGTACCAAAAAGAATAATAAGAAGCACTGCTCTAAAGAATAAATTCTTTCAACTAATTTATGTCTCTGTTAATAGTAAAGGTGTATTTTTTTTTAAAGAGAGATATTTTGCTATAGGGAGCATGCGCTCGCTAAAGAGACAGAGACAGAGAGATAGAAAGTGAGAAATCAGCCCCTAGAGGGGACGGCCATGCATCAATCCCTTCTCCTCCATTTTTCTCTCAGGATTTTGGACACATGCTCAGCGTGAGTTTTAAGCCACCGGGTCCAGGATTCGAACGGCGGTCAACTAAGTGGGAGTCCAGTTACATAACTATTACGCCATCTGCTGGTCCTATAAAGGTGTACTTTTAAACCTGAGTCCACACATTCATTTTTCTTACCAAACAGAAGCTTATTTTGGGAGTGTTGAGGGAGTGGGAGAGAGGCAAGCAAACACAGTAGCCCTGTTGGGCCAAGTCCTGCCTAAGTATCCTGGGAAAGTTCTTCCACTCGGTCTCCACAGTCTACCACCCTTTCCTCCCTTATGAAGGAACCAAGAGGGGTGGACACCAGCTTTCGCACAACAGTCCAACGCAAACCACCCCACATCAGACCTAACACCAGCCAGCTGTACACATGGGTCTCATTTAAACTATTATTAAAAAAAAACTCAAAAATTAACAACCTTTTTCCATGTTCCAGACTGAAGTTCTCCCTTAAATTCTTTTTTTTTCTTTTTTTTTTTGGGGGGGGGGAGGAGAGGTTTTTGCTATAGGGTGCATGTGCTCGCCAGAAAGACAGAGAGAGACAGAGAGACAGAAAGCAAGAAATCATCCCCCAGGGGGGATGGCCACGCCGCAATCCCTTCTCCTTCATTCTCCTCTCAGGATCTTGGACATGCATGCACACGTGCCTGGCGTGAGTTTAAGCCACCGGGTCCAGGACTCGAACCAAGGTCAACTACATGGGAGTCCAGCGACATAGCCATTAAGCTAACTGCTCGTCCCTCCCTTAAATTCTTTATAGTGGCAGAGGAGACACTTCCTCTTTCAATTAGTAGTTCTCCTTGTGGGCTGTTAAGCATAATTCTTACCAAGGCAAAAATTTAAAAACGGAGCATATATGGCTACACACCTAGTCAAGAGTCCCTCGTGGTTTGAGTCCTGGACCTGGTGGCTTGCTTTCTCACTTTCCCTCTCTCTCTCTGTCTCTCTCTGGTCAAAATTAAAACAATAATAATAATGATGATGATGATGAGCAGAGAGCAGAACGGTTACGTTGAGAGACTCTCAGGTAGTTAACTGCAGTCTGAGTTCGGAACCTGTGGCTTAAACTGACACCAAGCCCATGTGTGTGCCCAAAATCCTGAGAGGAAAATGGAGGAGAAGAGATCGCAGCATAGCCATACCCTCTAGGGGATGATGTCTCGCTTTCTGTCTCTCTGTCTCTCTCTTTCTGGCAAGCGCACATGCCCTATTAGCAAAAACCTCTCCAAAATAAGTAAATAAATAATAAATAGTCCCTTGGGTGATACTGATGATCTTTTAGTGCTGAAAACTATTGATTTAGAGCAAGGATCACCAAGTTTCTTCTGTAAAATGCCGGGAATATCTCTGCCTTGTGGTCTACCAGGTCTCTGTTGTAACTATAGGCTGAGCACCCCTAACGCAACAATCTAAAATGCTCTGACACCTGAAACGTTCTGAGCAACAACAGGACACCTTGAGTGGAGAATTCTACGCCTGACTTCATGTGATGGGCAGCAGATGAAACACTGCAGTACAAAAATACTGCATAAAATTACCTTCAGGCTATGAGAGACATATGTTTCCTATGAGGGCTTAGGAGACAAATGAATTTCATGTTTGGACATGGCTCCCATTCCCACAAGATTTCACTATGAATATATGCATATTCCAAACTCTGAAAAACACAATCTGAAATCTCAAACACTTCTGGTCCTAAACATTTCAGAAAAGAGATACTTGGGGGCCAGCAGGTGGTGCAGTGGTTAAGCTGCCGGGCTTCCACATGGTTGACTGCGGTTTGAGTCCCAGACCTGGCAGCTTGAAAAACATGCTGGGCACGTGTGCATGCATGCCCAAAAATCTCAGGAGGAGAATGGAGGAGAAGGGACTGTGGCATGACCAGTCCCCCTGGAGGGCGATTTCTTACTTTCCCCCTTACTGTCTCTGTGTCTCTCCATGAGTATATGTGCCCTATGGCAAAAACCTTAATGATAAAAAGAAAGAGAGAGCAAGAGATACTCAAATATCTCAGCTCTGCTGCTGTATCATGAAAGTAGCCATGGACAAGGCATAATCAAGAACCTACAGTAATTTGGGAAAGAGATCATAAGGGGCCGATAACGGAAAGACTTCACGTCCAGTATTTAAAATGCTGAGTGGTCCAGGGCAGGGAGGAACACATTCAAGCAGTTTCTGTCAGTCCCGATATGCGTCTCCCAATTCCGACCAAGCCGATCCCATCCCCAAGTCCCAGAATGCTGTGCCCTCCCCACTCCGCCCCCCACTGCACCGCCTGCACCATCTGAGGCATTTACCCTCCTGGGCATCTCCTTCGCGCTCATCATGCTCAGCAGCTGGGTTCAAGCAGGAAGACCCTTTGCAAGGCAGGGACACCGACGAGCTCGGAGCAAGCTGCTCACACAGGAGGCAGCCCTCCGCCCTCACCGCCCTCACCGCCCTCACCGCCCTCACCCAGCGATGCCCCAGTTCCTCCGGCTACACCTCTCTTCCTTCGAAACGTCTTCATTTGTCTTATTTTCTGTTTTCTAAACTGCGAAGCCTGAGCTTGCACACGAGCATGGGACCATGATGGAGGGAAATCCAAAGACAGGAATGAAAGCAACGGAGGAACCTCAACAGTCCATGGCCACACCTCTGATAATTCACTTGCATCCGGATTAAATGTTTCTTCATGACACCAGTAAGAGGACAGAAGGTTGAGGAAGCTTCATCTCTTTGGAACTCCATCAGAAGACAGAAGGTCAATGAGAACGTCTTGGAACCAAGCTCACCATAGCAATCATAAAATTATTTTTGTTTTAGAGAGAGAGAGGAAGGGAATATAAGGGGACGGCTATGCATTACACACTCCAAACAGGAAGTCTCTCGTGGGGGCAGAAGGACCATGCTACCTACCTTTTCGTGGTTTTCAATGAGGATTTCCACAACAATGTTCTGAAACTTCAAATCCATGATGGCAGCAACGGTTTCTTCCTGTGGCCTCATCAGAGTTGGTCCAAACACTACTCCTAAATTTGCCACGGTCATCAGGTTCTGCTTGGAGTGATTTGAAACACTAATATTGATGTGGGGAGGAAAAAAACAGTCTCTGTTTAACCATGGGACAGCGACTGTGGGATCAAGTGTCTTTATCTCCCTCCAAACACACACTCGAGAGACTGGAATGCTGGAACCCTAATGCCCCTGGGATCTGCCCCTGGAGTAACTGGAGCTAACCAGACCTGTGTGCTGCCGGCCTTGCCTACTTTTACTTCTCTCCAACACTCTGCTTGGGCCCCAGGGCGCCCTCGACCATCCCACGGACTATGCCACTCTTTCACCAGATCGTTATGACCCTGGCTCTAGGGCTTGCTGGACGGCATGGCACTTCTGTCAAAATTAGCTCTGCAGGCAGGCAGAGCTCAGGCAAAGCATCCACACTCGCTCCTTCAACTGAGCACCACGGTGCTGTGAACAACGTGGACCAGTGTCCTCAGCTGTCCCAGCCCTAGTCATCTGGTACCCACTTCTAGGTGATGAGCACAGGAGCACAATGGCCTGGAGTGTAGGAGCCCAGCAGTGTAGGCTGGGGGGTGGAGGCAGAGCGCTCAGATGGACAGTCAGACGTGAAGAGGCCCCAGATGTCAAAGCAACAGAATCAAAGGCGCACTTAGGCCAGAGATGCCATCTGGTCATTGTCAGTGAAGACACCAGCTAAGAGAACATAACGGACTATGACTGGTGTCCTTAGAAACAAGTATGACTGCCACTTACTTCAGCTCTCACTCAGAGATCTCACCCTCTGGGAGACCCTCCACAGTGACCCTCTTTGCGGTTTCACGCTCAACACAGAATCCTGACTCCCTTACATGACTTTGCGTTTTTTGCCACTTATCACCTGAAACTATTTTATATCGTAATCTTATATTATCATCTTTTCTCCCTGAGAAAGTGAGCTTCATGAAAGTAGGGGCTTTGTCTATGCGTTCTGCCATGCATCGACTAGCAAATAAGAAGGCATTCACTAGAGATTTGTTGACCAAATGAATGACCGAGTGGCTATCCTGGTAACGGGAACGTCAGCCAGTCATAATACCCGCTAGCCTTCGTTTTCCTTTTTGTAAAATAAAGGTTTTAAGATATACAGAGCTTTTCAGCTTCCTCTAGACACTAAAATTCTATAGCTAGAGTGATCTGAGAGTCACACATATTGGAAGAAAGGACTCATTTCTCCACTGAACGATTAGACTTCACTTGCTTTTTAAGGAGGGCAGGCAAAAAAAAAAGGGATCTACAAAATAACTACCCATTACTGAATTAAACAAACTTCTAGGACATGTTCAAACTTAAGAATCAGGTGGGTGTGAAACCAAACTAAATTTGCTAACAGATTTATAATCATGTTCCCAGAATCAGCACATGGGGCAGCCTATAATATTCTCTTCTTTCACTTCAAATCAAACCCTGAGCTGTTGGCAGGGATGTTAAGCAAATAATTATACAACTTCGTCAGAGCATCATGTTTCAACGCTCCTGTCCAAAACACACACAGTGAGTCCAGCAGCCAGCCTGCCATTCCAGGTGTGGTCCCTGTGACTGCATTCGGCCCCAGCTCAACCTTCCGAGCCCAGGAGCGCCCACCACGCGGCTCCGAGAGCAAAGCCAAGATCGTGAGAAGGAAAACAGAGGGGCTTACTTAGTCAAGTGCTTCACCAAAATATCCAGCATTTCTTTATTCTTCTCTGGCAGCTTGTGTACCAAGAAATGGATAGCGTTGACACGGGATTCCGGGCTGCCACTTTCTTTAAAAAAATAAGAGGAAAAAAAGGAAATAACAGTGAGTACTCAAGAGCAAATAGATTTCCCAAAACCAACAACAGCAGCTCTTCTATTCAAGACCTTCAAGTACGCATATTTGACTACCTTTAAAAGGAAAAAAAGAAATGTTCACTCTATAGTGATTTTTTTTTTTTTAAATTTTGTCAGAGAGTGCATGCGCTCACCAGGGAGACAGGGAAAGTGAGAGGATACTGCCCACAGCGCACGGTCACAGCTATTCCCTCTCCTCCTCTCTCTCCTTTCGGGACTCTTGGGCACACATGCACAAGCACGCAACGTGTTTTTCAAGCTGTTGTATCCAGGACTCAACCGCCCAGCCAGTCATGTGGGATCCAACCGCCCCAACCCCAAGGCTGGCCCCTCATTACTAATCTTCTAAGGCCGCCCCCATGGGTAATTCCAGGGTGGCTGCGATCAGCCCTTTCCCTGGGTTTCCCTGTAAGGGCAGAAAGCTGCCACAGCGCCTCATTCAGGCGGCTGTATGCAAGTCTGCTCGACACTGGCATGACGCCCCCCCCTAGGCTCCTGGCCACCGCGCCACCATGGAATGCACGTCAGACACCAGCAAATGGGACTTAATAGGTCCTGTTGAACTGTAACCCCCAAAAGACAGGCTGTAATTTTAACCCTGAGTGCCTCAGAATGTGACTGTTTTAAAATTACACTTGGGATTTATTTTAACTAGGTATGGTAAGATGTGGAAATGACTGTCATAAAGAAAAAAGTGTGTGCTCACAGAGCCCTTGAAACACAGGCAAAGTGAGCCACCTACACTGATAGTTGCAGGGTGGGGTAGGAGAGTGTCGGTCAGAGTCTGTGCTGTGGTTTCCACGGGAAGGAGGGGGCCTGGTGGGTGAGCAGGCACTGCACTGGCTAGTCCCAGTGACATCAGTGGGTGCTGGTTCCCCTAGTCATCCGGGAACCAGCCCTAGGTGATGAGCACAGGAATGTAAGAGCCCAGCAGTGCAGGCTGGGGGTGGAGGCAGAGAGCTCAGATGGACGGTCACACGTGAAGAGCGATCTGGGGGCTGCTGTCTCTAGGAACCGTCTGGCCTAAGAGGGCAGTCTCCCCGGGACTCGAGGCCCCAGATGTCAAAGCAACAGAATCAAAGGCATACTTAGGCCAGGGATCCCATTCGGACATCATCGGTAGAGACATCAGCTAAGAGGAGATCATAACAGAGTATAACTGGTGTCCTTACAAGAAACAAATGCCCAGAGGGAAGATGGCCGTGGACAGACACGGGGAACCATGCCATGCAACAGCGGACCCAGAAATGGGAGAGAAGCATCAACAAGCCAGGAATGTGAAGGGCTGGGGGGACCACGGCAGCTAGAAGTGGCAAAGGGCCCTCCCCCAATCCTTTAGGGAACAGGCCCTCTTGACACCCTGATTTCAGACTTCTGGTCTCTAAAATGTGACAGAACAACTTTCTGTTGTTGGAAGCCCCTTGGCGTGCAGTACCTTACGATGCCCTGAGAAACTAACACACCTCGCTTACCCCTTTAACTTCGGGGTTGACTGTCATCTGAGGCTCTTACTAACAATGTGCCCAAATCCCTTTACTCTGCTCTTGATGGGAAAATCAACAAATCAATAAGATGCCTGTTACTGAAGATGATGCCAGGATTTTCTGAGGCATCTGCACAGTGACAGATGAGAATCAGGAGCTCAGTTTACTGTGCAGGAAAGGTGCTCAGACAGTCTTCATGCAGAACCAGCAGTGGGAGCTCGGGAAGGGTCTCACAGAAGGGGAAAGCACTAGAGTTAGGTCTTGAAGGGGGAAGAGTTCAAGAAAAGGCTGAACTGAGGGGCTTCGGGGCACACTCCAGACTTGGTAACCGGTCTGACGAAAGGCACAGAGCGTCCGCATCCACGTCCACGGAGACAGCACCTCACACACACACAAAGGCAGCCTGAAAACAGCCCAGGTCTGTAAAAGCCAGTTGGAACACTGTCTCTGCTCTTGGCTTCTAAAGGAGTCACTTCAAGTAAAAGCTAGGAAGGGATACGAACAGAGTTCAGTTTTAGGAGGGCATACCTGACGTTTTTGGAAGGATGGATGAGAATGTGAAAGAGAAAATTAGGAGAGCAGTGCTCTCTGGGCATGAAGAGATGAAATGGGAGTAAGAACCATGAAGAAGGCAGTAGTACAAGGAAGGGTAGCGGAGTCAGGCCTGGGGGTCACCACTTCCAAATGATACTCCGTGGCCTGGAGCAAACTATGTAACCTCTCTGTGCTTCCACTTCCTCACCTGCAGAATGAAGATAGCTAGACTACCTCCAAGGCCACGATTCAGTGTAGCAACACACATAAAGTGTCGGGCCCGAGGGGCACAGACCGACCCTCAATCGCTGTTGGCCATTACCTGGGGCCCAAGCACCCCACTTCTACATAGATGGTAAATTAAACTGTCTTGGCCTGAGAAGGCTTCCATACTCATCTACTTGAGTTCTTGGAAACAAACCCCACCCTCGCTTGGGGTGAGTCATGGCCAATCACAGATAGCCCACCATTTGAACTACGCTCATCTAAGCTGTGTTCACCGAGCTGAAACCAACCCAGCTCTAGGTCTGCCCATTTCCCTCACTTCCATTTTCTCACGTGACTTTCCTTTTTCCTTTTCCTGCCCGTAAGTTACCAGACTGCAAAATTTAATTAAGCTCTACACTTACTTGTGCGTATCTGTGTTATGAGTCAACGAAGAGTTCTCTTAAATTAAAATGACCCATAATAACTCTCATCCTAAAATAGCTTATCTTGGGACGTACTAAGATAGTATATTTTAGATTTAATCCTTTGAGAGTTTTCCCTTTCTTTTTAGTAATAAAATGTTAAAGCTGCCAATTTCCTTTAATATGTCATGAACATCATCGTCCTGTGTCATTAAATGGAGCTCCATATCATCGATTTTATAAGCATTTAGGTTGCTCTCAAAGTGTGTAGAGTTAAGTTTGTTACCGTTTACTCGCTCAATAATGAAAGGACTATGGGTTTACAACACAGGACAGTGAAACAGCTGCTGCTAAAGAGAAAGGAAGCGAATGTGGTTCAAATCCCAGACATGGTGGTTTGCTTTCTCACTTTCCCGTTATCTCTCTCTCTCTCTCTGTCTCTCTCTGGTCAAATTAAAAGATAATAACAAATAAAATTAAATAAATAATTCTTTTAAAAAGGTATTCCTTAGTAAGGTCTTTAGAGTAAAACCACTTTTTTGTCTGTTTTGTCTTATTTTGACATTAATCCAAACCTCCCGGCAATGGGCACTTCCATATGGCCACAACGTAATAAATGAAATGTATTCAAAAAAACCAGTGAGTAAGCTGTTATCTTCGGTGAGCTATATGCATTTGATTATATTTTAATTGACAAAGAATGTCACTTTTTTAAAATCCGGCATTCTAAATTAATCATTACATCAAATTCCTGAAATATGCTATGGATTACGAGTTAACTGTAATAGAAAAAGCATTTTAATTGTGAAACTAGCAATCAGCATCTACCACACCTTAATGACTAGTAGCTTATAATGCTGTGGAAAGGCTGAAAAAGCCATCCTGGAGCGTATCAAAGACATGCAGGCAGATAAATGCTATACTTCGATATTTAAGTGCCGCCAGGCAATAATGCTATAGTTTTAGGAAGACATTAGCAGTAATTATCTAGGCACCTTCAAAGGGACAACACACATGGATGTACAAGCATCAAGAATGCTGGTTTTTCTGTGGTGTTCCCACCTGCTGTGAGGTGAACACACCAGGCCAAGAGAGATGAAGATCTTCCAGCACATACTCAACTCCTGGAGGTCCCAGGCTTTTGAGTCTT